AGGATCCCATTTGCCTTCCGAGCCACAAGGGCACACTGCTGGCTCATGTTAAGTTTTTCATCCATCAGGACTCCCAGGTCCTTCTCTGCAGCGCTGCTCTCAGAAGAAAATTATCTGAATCTATTAAAGTTTCTAAAACACGTGTTTTTCTCATTTCTGCTAAGCGCATACCTGCTCAATATTTAATGGCCATTTCAATCTTAAGACGTGCTGTAGCCACCGGACAACACAAGACGGATGGATGTGGAACCGGGCCGCGCTGCGAGGGCGCCGCCTGGCGGCGGTGCGGCACAAGTGCAGCCGCAGGGCGAGCAAACGCGCACGGACAGCGCGGACGCGGCAGGGAGATCCGACGCGGCTGTAATTATTGACAAAGGCCGGCACGCGGTAACCAGCCACCATGTAAGGTTACATCGAAGGGTATGAGAGGCAAGGAACTGCGGCAAAAGAGCTATTGCTTCCCTCAACGCAGATCCGCTTACAGACGTGCGAGTCGCTCCCCCTGAAGTCGATCAAGTAGTTGAAAATAAATATGGAAATAACAGAGTCGGGCTGCGACCTGCAGGCTGTCATTGTGAATCTCGCCTGACGGCATTCCTTTAAAACAACGTTAAATGAAAGCCTGTTACTAAGTGACTTCCTTGTGGCTCGCTTTTAGATGGTGATTTACTCACTTCCACCAGATCCCTTTTGCCCATAGAATGCTTTGTGTGTGCAGCAGCTGGAGATAACACACACACTACCTGGTTTATCAGGAGCTCTGGATAACTGCTCTTTTTCTTTGTCCGTTTTTGAAGGAGCAAATGGAAATCCCCAGTCACTTCTAAAAGCTTTTTTGCAACGTGAAATGTGTTCTTTCACTTTTAAAGTCCAACCCAAACTTCATCAACCAGAGATAAAGGACACTCAGGACTTCGCACCTGCTGCGTTCTGCAACGTTTCTCCTTACATGTGGACAGGTTACTCCACCACAGCATTCTCATTTGTTTTGCCCGTGGTGCCTCTGTTCACATGGATGGATGCTCAGGTTAAGCATCCGAATGCAAGACCAAGCATTTCTTCAGCTGTAATTACGTGACACTGAGGTCAGGGAGGACCTAAGAAATACACCGAGTACATTCCAAGGCAACAGAGGTGTTCCTTTAAGTGGAGACAGGGAATTAATTAATTGTGGAATGACACACAGCGTCAGAAAGAACTTTGGCTAATGTAAATTTTAAAATACAGAAAAAGAACATTGATGCCAAAGGAAACTGATCTCTGAAATCAATCAAGATCGTTTTAATAACCCAACCCCGTATCTTGCAACCTGTCATTTTATGGTACAGATTAGTAGGGACAGAAAAACACATCTTGCAAGGATTTAAAGATTAAACTTGTCTTGAAAGAAATAGGAAGTTATCAGGCTGATGTTTTGATGAATGGGCAGCAATTTTAACATAATTTCTCAATGCCCACATCTTGCCAACTGCTTGAATCAACTAATTCATCTCACTTAATCTACTTGAAATAAAGAAGATTGAGGCTTGAATCTCTTCTTACTCAATCAGAACTGAGTATCAGGATTGATTTATGTTCCTTTTTAACTTGGATACGTAAATCAAAGGAACTTCAGTGTCCAAGTCCTTTATCTAAGCAGTTACCAGGAGGAGGATGCAGTAAAATACTATAAATACCACTGACTAAAAATACGAGCACTCTAAGAAATGTCCAAAATAAATATTACTACACATATAGAAGCTTCATTTTCATTATATTTAGGTTAAGTTGGTCTTTTGTATCTCAGATACTCAAAATTTCCTCAGAGGCTTTTAACATCCAGCCCTACTGCTCAATAAATGTTTCTTGATGCATGCTGTGCATCCATACTTGCAAATCAAGCTTCAAGCTTAACATCCATTACAGGTTCCAAGGTAGAGAGCATTGCCATGCCTACAGAAATGGCAAAATGATGAATTTCTGTACTTTATCAATTATTTCAATGAGCAGAACATATTTCAGCCTTGAAAGACCTAAGTTTACAGTTATTGGAATGATGACTGGAATGGAAGTTAATGTGCTTAGCTCACAAATTCTCAAAGCACAACAAAATGCGTCAAAAGTTTTAATAGTTATGACTTTGATACAGAAGCCATGTAAGTGACAGAGCCCTTCTATTGACTGTTAGAACAGTAATACATGTGTGATTGTCTTCAGGCCCCAGTACCTAAACAGTACTGGAATTAAAAAAAGAAAAAGAAGAAATCTAGCTGATTTCCAGCTGGAGAGGAAAGAGAAATACTGAGCTGCATTCATGCACTCTATGGGAAAGATTGCATAGCTGGTTTAGATAGAAAATGTCTTTTTATGTCCTTAGTAATAGTGCTGTGCTTCTTTAATTTCTTCATGGATTATAGATGATTGTATTCTTCTATTCAACACTGTCAGACCACAGAATGAGTAAAATGCAAGACTCCCTCTGAAAATAAGGACACAGTTTCAAAGTTTCTCTAGGGAAGAAATGAATCACATATGCAGTAATCACATACAAAATGCAAATATTTCAAGTTTCATAAGGACGTGACAATCCATAAAATATTAGTTGAAGGTAAGCACCAAACCCAGCAACTGCCATTTCAGTGACTGAAGGGCAAGCCTGGGATGTGGTTGTCTTCAACACTGGGAATTGGATCTTGACTGTTCTTTCACGTAAGATAATTTCCATGCAAGATCCCCAGCTGTACAACACAGTGATAGAGGCATCTCATTATTTAAGGCCCATGCTTTTTTTTTTTTCTTGAAGTCACCCAAGCTAATCGCTTTTTTCTTTCTTTTTTTTTGCTTGTAAGATCAGTATTAAATATTCATAAATATAAAAAATGTGTGGAAATACCTTTAGTAACATTCTGATTCTGTCTGTTAAAAAAAAAAAAAAGAAAAAAAGAAAAAGAGTAACCACAACCCAGCAATCAGCCATCTTTGCCAGAATGCCAGCAGTGAAGATAAAAACGTGACTGTTCCAAACATCCTGTAGGTCAAATGATGCTTCTCTCTCTTTGCAGACCAGAATCATTTCAGTATTTTTTGAGTTCTAAGAAGCCACAAGGAGAGGACAGAAGCCCCCAGAGCGCCTGAGATTCAGATAGGCTGGACTGACAAACCATTCTGACAACGCTGGCTCACACACAGTTCTTCAGATTCTTATGTGGAAAGTACTGCAAAGGAAGCAAAAATATTAAGAGATATATAAATATTTATCACTACGTGCAACATTCTCCTTAGAACACATAAAGAAAGGTGTTCTGTAAAGATTCGGGATCTCTGATCTCTTGTTGTCTCTCCTAGTAAGGACATTGGGGAAAGCAAAAAAACTGAAGTGCATTTCCATTGACACTGAAGTATTTCAAGACAAAATGCATTCCTAAACCTACTAAATTTTACTCCTAAAAGTACCATCATCCTTCTTACAGAATATCTAACATTTAGGAAGATCAAGCTTAAAAAAATAATTGGTATTACAATTATAATAAGATGAGGAGTGACAGCATTTAAAGGATTTCTCATTTTGAAAGCAGATCTAATAATTTCCAACTCTTGCTGTATTAAAAGTCTTACAATCATTTGGACAGGGAGATATTTTTTAATTTTCAGTCATAAGTTGTTGATAAAGATACTAATGGACTGATAATAAAACCACACCATTCCTTTTGAAATGCAGCTATACCATTTGATCTGCAGAAATTATTTTTTTGGACAGTTCTTAGTGTAAGAAATTACCTATGGAAGCTACTCCAAAGGCAAGGAATGCTAATATTCATACAGAGGTTGAACTCTTGACAATGACCCAAAAGTCAATTCTCAGGCCTGCATCTCAGCTTCTAGACTTCAACAGTGAAGAGACTTAATTAACCTGAAAATTACTACCATTTTGATGTTCTTATGCTTTGTTGTGACAGGAACATTCTCACTTTTATTCTGACATACAATAATACAATATTTACTTGAGGAAACGTCCAGAAAAGTGCCACTGATTTAGCCTCTGGTGCAACCTATTACAACATTAATAAAGGCCACTTACTATCTAACACAGGAAATCAGAATCTGACAGAGCAAAGTGTTGACTTAACATTAAGCAGAAGGCCAAACCAAGCAGCTGGGAAATTTGCAATAATGATGAGGATATAGGATGGTGATACCACTTTAAAAACAAAACTAAGGTAACTTTTTGGTTTTTCAGCATTATCATATCAGCAGTGTCACATCCACAATTTCACCAACCAGCAGTAATTCAGCTCCTCATTTCACAATGTCATTTTACAGACTGTGTTTATGTTTTATTGCAGTTGAGCTGCAAGCATTTCTCAGATGCGCTGTCTTTATTTGCAAAGAATTGTACTGTGAATTAGATATTGTAATTAAAAGGACTTGAATTCTGGTTGCAGACTGAGAAGGCAAACTTAGTTAAGTCAGAATGCTTCCTTGAATCATGTAAAGTTCAATTAGCCTGTCAAAAAGAAAAAATCCTTTTAGAATAACCCTCTTTTTGTGTGTAAGAGAGTAATTACGGAAACTGAAAAGGTACTGATAATATTTCTTTTATATAAAAGAGTTTATTCTTCAACATTATATATGTACAATGAGATACTGATAACATCCTCAGAAAAATTCATAGTTAGTGCAGGAAAGATGTAGACAAAAATTTGTGGTGCAGATCTCAAATCTGCAAATGTGCTCAGTTTTTAGAATGAACAAAAGCTAGACACTAGGGCTGGAAACCTCACATCTTTCTGTAATAGAATAAAGAATAAAACAAGAACGACTGCTCATTTTCTGATTCATATGTCAACTGTAGAATATAGATTTATCATTTACACTGCAAATTGTCTCCTTTTCCAGGACAGTTAAAATCCACACTTGGACAAGGCATTTCTGTTAACTACTTACCAGCACAGCAAGCCTTCTTTCAGGCTTTCATGAAGATTTACATAAATGAAGAGAAACCTCCATCTTCTGAAATTATTTGATTAGAGGGCCAAGCAGAGCACTGGATTAAATCAAGTGTCAATTGACTTATTTATTGGACATACAGCAAAGCAAAATATTTCCCAATTGCCCTTAGGCTGTTGCACAGCACTTGGGTTCCTAAGCAGGTCAAACTAGGCAGATAAATCTGATGTTTCTCTTGCTAAGTCCAAGACTATTTTTGTATTTCTGGGTGTCATTCTGAAGTTTGAAAATTAAGCATTTTACTAATAAGAACACACTGATAAAAGTGATTTCTTGCTACTGTTTTCTCACTAATAGTCTCTTGCCAATCCGTCATTAGCTCTGATTTTAGTCTTTAGGAACTAGATCACCTGCACTTTAGAAGAGGTCTTACAGAATGCACAGAATCTAAGACATAGTTGCTGTCCCTTCAGCTTTGGATAGGACAAGAGTCAGGATATCAGCTGTTACAGGAATAAAGCCCACAGAGGTTTCAGAATAGCACATTTACAATGACATCTTTTTGTTTCATATGTTGTTTCTCTGCCTAGGTTTGCCACCTCCTAGTTGTTACTAATGCCATATTCTTCTCAAGCTCCATTTCAGATTGTTATGGTATGTTTCACCCTCAGGCCTTCGAATAAGCTTAAACTTCCAGGATGATTTATAAACCAATTTCCTGTGGAAAATGTAACCAGTCTTGTAGAACAGAACACTTAGCTAATGCCAGCTCAGAGTCCAAATGCTTCTATTACACTACAAGCAGCTTCTAAATGATAACAATTTTGAAACCTACTGAAATCAAATTTTCTGAACTAGCAACTATCACTTATTTATAACTTACTCAAGCTTCCAGAATAACAGTAAAAAATGCATATACCATCTTCTCTGGTCAACAATGAGCAGTGTTTTCTTCTAGTCTCTACAAAAAGTCATCAACATCAGCAAAAATAAAGCAACAAGCTTAAGTGCATTTTCATTTGCCTGACAGCAGCACAAAGCTTGCAAAGACTGTAAGAGATTAAACCTACATAATATCATACATAAAGGTTTGAGAAGGAGGTGGTGATATGAGGAAAAAGTCAGTCAACCTACAATGGGTGAACTTGAGCTCATATCAAGTACAAGCCTGGATCATGGTGTCAAAATTAATACCTGCTGCATGTATTAAGTACGTATAACTGTATTGCAGCTTAAAAAAAAATTAATTGGTATTCTGAGCTCTGTGAAATAAGTGCTCCAAAAAAAGAGTATGCAAAGGAAGACCTCTGAAGATTCCTATCAGTAAGGCAAAGAAGATATTCTTCCTCAGTAATGAGATTTTACATTTGAATAGATATATCACAAAAATTTTCCATGTTTGTCAAAAGTCAGGCAAGTAAGGGGCTCATTTAACAAAATAAAGAAGACAGAGTTGTATGACGTACAGTTTTGCAGAGAACACACGTTGAAGCAGTGGCAAAGTCACAGGTAAAACCTAACTACCTTGCATCCTAAGCTTCATACTCTTATGATGTGAAGAAGTGGCTTTTGGTAGAAAGGTAAAGAATAGAGAATAAAGAATTTCTTTACTGCCAACAGGAATAACGTGAGATCTGGAAAATTACTTAACATTTTCTGAAGAATCACATACTAGGCACCAATGTGGTATTCTAGGATACAGTATTCAGAAATGCTGACTGCCTACAGCTTCAAAACAAAGTCTCTGAATACTGTAGTTATCCAACATCTCCCATTGCTCATCAGCAATCAGTTCTTAAAAGCGATCACTGCTTTAATGCAGTGTGTCTGATTTTCAGAGCTGATGAGCAACTGAAAGTATTAATCAATAAGTACTTCCATTTCCTTGAAATTAAAGTTTGGAATGTATTCAGCTGGGCACAAAAAATGGAGATAGGCAAAAAAAGATGAAATTACAGCTGCCTCTGGACATGGATAGGTCAGTACTTCTCCCACTCGTCTGCTAAAGACTTTCAAAAGGGACAATTTTACCAAGATGAAAAAAGATCTTCGTATCTTTTCATATCATAGCTTGCAAACTGCTTCTACAACACAGCAGTAGAATCGGTCATGGCACAGGAAACCTCTGAAACTACAGCTTCTGCTGACTCTTCCATCTGCCTTCTATTCTTCACATTTGATCTGTGCTATCAGCTCTGCAGGTACAGCAAAGCCTTTTCACTGAACAAATGAAATTCTACCTGATCCCAGCAGCTTCTATATAGAAGAACATTCTGCAGAAAATGTTTGGGGTTTTTTGCTATAAATATGTGTTAACAAAATATTATGTATACTCAGGCAAATCTCACCATAATGATGATATATATCTTGTTTCAAAAGAGTTCCTGTTGGTAAGTTTGATAAGTCAAGGAGTGCCTGATACATTTCTAATGTAGAAGACACTCACATTGACTTTGCAGCATATCATCTTCAGATGTTGATGTTTCCTAGGATCCACAGGGACCTCATACTTTACAGCAGAATTGTTGTCTCACAATGTTTTTTCTCAGAAATTTAATTTGTCATAGAAAAAAAACTCTCCTGTATTCTTCAGGACACGTCAAAGTTCTTAATCACCATTAGCATTAAGATTATCAATCCAAATTTTAATCTACTTTAACTCAGTTCTAGCATTCAGACCTATTTCCTATGGAAACAATTTGTTCAGTCTATCCGACTGTGAGCTTTGCCAATCCTCTCCAGAAGCAGCCATTACAGCTGTAATTTTGTTTAAAAATAAATAAATAAAAATCCTGGCACACTGGATGGGTTCCTATACAACGGGGACCCTTGGTTGAAACTGTATGTATTTGAGCTTCCAGAAGATGAAAATATTTTCCTGAAAAATTCACACAAATACAGACAGAAAAAAAGGAGGGGATAACTGAGTCATTGAGCTCTTAGTCTTAAGTTAGGAAAGAACTGGAATAGGCTCTGGAGAATTAAATTGAGTTAGGGTAAGAAGTCATCTTCCAGGTTCCTCAGCAAAACTCAGCTCTCTTATGCCTGATATTTCTTACACTACGCTACACAGCCAACAGCCAGAAAGAATGTCTGAAAATAGGCAAAGTGACAATCTTTGTCTTAATACCTGAGAAAGTCCGGTGCTTTGGAAATCATGTTTTCAAAATCTGCAAATCCTAATTTGCCATCACCATCCATGTCAGCTTCTTCTATCACTTTCTCACAAACCAGAGTGATTTCTTCTGCTGTTAGCTCTTCTCGGGTCAGCTTATTGAGTGTTTTTTCCAGGTCTGCTTTACAAATGAAGTTATCTGTGTTAAAATCTGAATAGTAAAAGAAGCAAAGAAAAGATCACCGGCAACTCTCACATTTATTCTCAGCAAACACATACAAAACACATACAAAAGTATCTCAATACATTACCATAGATCTTAAAGGCATAGATAGCTTTGAGCTCTCTGGGAGCCATTTCACTGAGCACAGAGAACATGTCCACAAAATCATTGAAGCTGAGGCTCCCCTCTCCATCTTCTGAGAAAGATTCCACGATTCTTTCCCTAAAGGGATTCTCCTGCAAATACAAACTTTTTATTACTTAAAACAATATGTGCACGTGAATAAACAAAACAGTAACACCTGTTTGGAATATCAGTGCATACTCCTTGCAAATAATTAGTAGTTAGTTGTTTGAAATCTCTTCTTGCAGATAACTATTTTCTTCCAAAATGCATCCAAGAATTTACATTTCCATGTCATGGCACAAAGTGTCAGTAAAGCATGCTGCTGCACACTACTGCTTCTTGCCTAGATCTTCTCAGCTCCACTGTTACTCATTTTCTCTATACTGGTGTTGACCTCATGTCTCTTGCGAGTAGCACCTGCTTTATAAATGTTAGAATAAAGGTACTAAGAGTGTGAATATCATTTGCATAAAATTGGTTCCTGTCAAGCTGTCATACTGAAAAAGTCAAGAGAATTACTGTTCCTACATTAGGAATCCAGTAGATGCAGACTGGATGACAGTAGAAGAAACAAAGGGGAAAGTCAATAAAACAAATGGAGAATTTATACCTCTGCCAGCACCTGACCCAAGGCTGGAGGAATGATTACTATTTACAAAAGCATTTTAAGAAGTAAACATAGCTACCTATCTGCTTAATGCAGAACCATCAATCAAACCAAGCCTGTTTATTAAGAATGCAGAATCGCATCCCTAGTGGCATCTTGTAGAAAGTCTTTCATTTTCACTGCTATAAAAAATATCCAACTTCTGGTTGAAATGAATTCTAGAATTTTAAACTAAATTTCATCTCTTCACAGATGATTCTAAGATCCTATTCCAGCACCTTACCGATGCACTTGGTGACAAAGCCACTCTCAAAAGACTGTATCCTAAAACCATAAGCACAAGAGCCAGCAAGCACAGAGAAGTTGCTTGACTGCTCTGAAATAAAAAATAAATGCTTTTACAGCAACAAAACAACATATTCCCCACAGCTGTATAAAAACTAAGAGGAATTGGCAGTTATTTCTATAAAACAGGTATAAATCAATTCAACTGAGTGGGAACAAAACCCACGAACGTGATCTGGACTGCGAGGAGCATCCGGCCAAGGCTGTTCTACAGATCCTGTCTGAAGTCAAAGATGCCAATCAAAATACTGATCTCCTATACGTCCAGTCAGCTTCAGTTGTGGTATATCACACATGACTCGTAATATGCATGCAGCATTGGGTTTGATTTTTAAAAGAAGTGGTATTGAGAAATCTGAAGGGCTCACAAATATCCACTGCAGGTTTCCTCTCTCCTGAGTAGAAATGAATTAGAAACATGAGTTTTATTTACAGTTCTCTTAGAATATTTCAGTCCAGGTTGGAGCAGGTTCAGTTTCTATTTTCCATTTCCCTTATGAACTTGGCTTGACATTTTTGACAGATTAGAGCCATGTCAAAGTTTTCACTGTTAGAGGTTGTAGCAAAATATACTTTAAATGCTATCTCTGTGCAGGTGACAAAAGGCATTATGTTACCAAATTTCCTTTGTGATTTCAATTGGACATCATTATCTTCAGCTCTTGTTTCAAGCTGCTGCAAATCATTAAAAGTTGTTGAATTTAACTTCAGAGACAGCTGTGTATTAGTAGTACACAGCCCAATTCTTGTAAGGTACTTTGATATTTTACATTTACATAATCAATAGCACAAGCCTATTGTGTTTGAGGACACAGCCTGGTAGAATCTAAATGTCTAGATTCTGTGATACGTGTTCTAATGAAGAATTCTAGCTAAATTCCAGGAAAATCACCATTCCTTGAGAAACACTGCAAATGTGCCTGTTCATACTAAGTGGTCACATCACAGACTTCTTAGCTGCAGTAATGCCCATGAAAGTATGCCCCTGTGTCCTTCTTTGTGTGTCAGTTACATGCAACACACTGTTTACAGTCAATTTTAATTTTTAAGGATTCTTGTTAAAAGATCAGCATAACAAATGATAGTGAGTTGTGGCTGTGCACATAAATAACATTTCAAAGAACATCCAGTTCCTGGAAAGCAGCATTCCTTTCTTCTTCAGGTGATTGGTCATGTGTGGACTCACTACTGGATGACTCCTTGCAGTGTGTTCCAAGATGCAATTACAGAGAAATGGAGAGACATCTGGGTATAAGGCCTGGTTTGAAAAAGCCTGTCTTACATCTAAGTACATTTGGCAAGTCAAACCACCCTGGGAATGTAAGAACACATTTTGGCAGCCTTACTGGCTATCACTTTGAGATTCTTGCATACAGAAGCTAAAAGGGTTATTCACATCCTCAGAGCATACCTGATTCATTAGGAGATTGCTACTTAATGGCAGTATAGGTCTCAACATACATTAACTACCTAACGAGGTGCCCTTGAGCCTCGCAGTTTGCACTCCAGGACTCCCTTCCATGGTAGCAATTGGAGTCTGCCAAAAGGAAATCCAACAGCAAACAGCACAATTGTGTCTGTCAATCTTTTGTGGGTGGGTGAGTTCTCAGAAATCAAATTCAGAATTGTAATTTCTCAGAACAATCATGAAGACCAGAGATTTCAGCACTCCTAAATGTCAAGAGAACTCCAACCTTTCTGGCTGAGATAATGGTGAAGATTAAAGTTGTTTTAAAAGATAGCTGAAGTAGGAACCACAGAGTCATGGTCCCAAATGACAGACCATTAAGTCGGTCAATAATACATTAAAATTCTGCTGCATGGCTTACAGAGTGAACTAACTTCATAATAAGAAACATCCCTACAGTTCTCAAAGGGTAAAGATTAACAACCTCACTGTGCTCTGAGCTTCATACATGAGCTGAACTCACTGTTCAGAGGGAAGAAAAAAAGGCCAAAGAAAAATGAAATGCATCAGTGGGTACTGAAAAGAGAATCTGACTTGAGAGCTTGGAAATAGCCCTGTCCTGTGAACATGGATGTGGAGGGTTACTCCAGAAAAAAATGATTGATTTTGTTGTTTCAGCTGTTTTTCAGTGGTCAGCTTATCACCAAGACAAAGCAGGACTCAATTTGTCCCACTTTCTTCCTCAAAGCACATAAATAGGAATGTATCTGTTAAATGCATAAATATTAGGGAATGCTCAGTCAACAACAAGTTAGAAATGCTATTGTTCTGATTTCTATAATGCTATATCACTCTCTTCAGAACCGACCCCATCAGAACTAAGCAACATGGCAACAGCAATAAACTGACATCTTAGAGGCAGCACTGAATTACAAACAAGGACTACACAGATGCAAATATCCCTATCAGCAGTGAATATCAAACCCAGGACCTCCTTGTTGCAAGTGCTAGCCCTGATCTCACCTGTGGTTGCATAAGATGAATTAACTACTTGACATGTTAGAGGCCTTGAAAATACCAGCAATGAATTAAAAGGACCTGGGTATGTTTCTTAAGTGACTCTTTGCCAAATGTATCTCTAAAATCTAAATGAAAAATAAAATCTTTCCTCGTATTGATTCCTTTCCTTTAACTTTCTCATATTGTGTGTCTTCAGGCAGTATATCTGTAGTTTACACAATGGAAAGTATTAGTTTACCTTCACAGATACTTTTCACATCCTTTCTGTAATTTCATTACCTCTACTCTAAAGAGCACAGATTAAGGTTCCATCATATTTAAAGGAAAAGCCATGGGGGAAGGGAGCAATGGGGAAAATGATACTGTTCCTTCATAGATCGTTTTCCTTCAAGTACTAATTGTTTGAGAAAGAACACTTTTACAACAGAAAACCTACATTTGTCCTGTTAAGAAGCTGTTTCCATCCTCACAATAAAAATGAGGCAGAAACGATGAAAACTATTACAGCTAAAACTCAGCTGTTTTGCAGATTGTTGCTGTTGAAGCCATGTAAAGCCATTCTTGTAAAAGAGCTATCTATTTTCTTAACCATTGTCTTTTCTACTTAGCTGTATTTCTACATGTTTTTAATTCACCATCACATCTATTCTGGTGTAAGGACTTAGAACACAATGTGATAAATCATGATGACTAGTTTTCTAACAAAAAAAAGCCAGGCTGGATGTGGCTCTGGGCAGCCTGGTCTGGTGGTTGGCAACCCTGCACACAGCAGGGGGGTTGGAACCAGATGATCATTGTGGTCCTTTTCAACCCAGGCCATTCTATGATTCTATGAATACTATCACTGGCCTCATGCCAGGAGTTGCAGTCAAATCTTACCATGTCATTCGTTACTCACACCTTGCTCTCGTTTCCATCAGAGGTGTGAAAAAAACACACCATGAAAGCACTGTGTGTCCTCTTGCCTCACCCATTTTGCAATCATCTTGCAGCTTGACCCATTAATTTAAAGCACAATGTCCTTTTAGCACAAACTATGCCTTAGAAGTAAGATGTTGCAAATAAATCTGAAACAGTTCTCCTTAGGTTAAGGTAACTAAGCCAGAGAGGCTGAGCAGTCGTTACAAAATGCTTCTCAGTTTTACATCCACATAAACTGGCCTTTACTTGGGATTTCCAAGTGACACTAGCAGAGATGCCCAAACACATAAAGCAGTCTGCAAAGCACTGCTTAAAATCACAGGAAATGGTTTTATTTTATTGTGAAGCACCATGCATGCGTTCATGCTCAAACCTATAAAAAATAATTTTGAAAATGATTCTGAAAGGTGACCAATTCACTGTTCCCTGTGTGTCCTTTCTTCCTCCTGACTGATTCCTGTGCCTGCTGCTCACTCTGTTGCAGTCGTGTGTGGATTTATGAACTACCTCACTCACCACTGCAGTGAATGACAAGGCCTGTGAGGATCAATGAAGTCAGAGCATGAGACAAAAATGGAAACCAGCAGACTGTGAAGTGAGTGAAGCAAAAATCGTTCCCCTCCAGAAAGCCCTTTTATAACTTACTCTACTCTTGACACAAAGACTGCTGCATCACCATATACCAGCTTGAAGATTCTGACTACTAGGGATGCATACACCACAATGACGATGCCACACATGCACTTCTGCAGATCATATGTGACCTCTATGATCAGGCTACATTCCTACATCCAGCTATGAAAAAATGACAGAGATAAGGCAAGTGAAATCAGTTTTGTTTTGAAACAATCTTCCCTTTCTACATGGTTTCACACTGAGCAGCTCATACTGTTGCCACATATTTGCAGTATTAATTGCTGTAATCTCAGATATGCTTATACACTCTCATTAATTTAGTAGATATATTTGCCTGTGTAACCACAATGGTCAAAATTAGAGAACAGAGACTACAATGAAACAGTTGGAGTAAACTAGATCTGCTAACTTCAGTGTAATGGTAGACCTAATCAACTTAAAGTATCTGCCCCTTCTTTATTTATTTATCGCTTGCCCTGACTTTCAACTTAAGAACCATGAATTAGTGAAAAATTCATTACCAATTTAAGTAAGTTCTTCTTTGAAACACAGGTATCATATTTAAATTCACCCTGGCTCAAAACATTAATGCGTGAAGTAAAGATGTTTCTTTATACTAGCAGAATCTAATTTAGAAAAGTGCATTATTGATTCTATCCATTTGTCAGAATCTGCAGTGGTATTGAGCTGAACATTGCCAGTAACTAGAAGTGTAATGTGCATATGAAAAAAGCCAGGTGCATTGAAATTATCACTAATTTTATTAAAATTCAATAGACATTTAGTTTGTTTGTTTCTATTTTGAGATTCAGATATCAGTTTAGTCTTTGCCTTGATGAGAACTTACTCAAGAACCCACACTAACAATTTGTTTAGCAGTCTGGGAAAGTTGGAAAGGTTAAGGACTTTTTTTTTTTTCCATATTAACTACAGTAAATACGCACATTGCTTGGAAAATGAACTCTGCATGAAAGACTTCTTTCTCCCCACCTGTATAGGAAGTAGTAAAATTCGTCATGACCACAGATGGTCCAGGTTTATGGCTGATATCCTTGCTGGCATTTTAAAATCCTGTACTGATAATATTTTGAAAGACACGTGGGGCAGGGGAGGGAAGTAAGGTCTGTTATCTTCATTTGACTGTTATTTTACTGGAAACAAGCTCACTATGAACTCTTATAAACTCTGTTCCTGAAATGAGTGGTTAATCAGCAATATTTCTAAAGTCTTCCATGTCTCTTGAGATCTGGGAGAGAATTATTAAATTTGACAGCAAATTCTGTCCTGTTGCTGGCATAAAATCAAGTTCAATTTCCCTCATGACGTATTCTAAAGCTGGATCAGAAAGCTTCACAGACTTGAAGGGATGCAAGAAGATCAATTTTGATCCACTTTAAATACACTTCTTTAATCTGCTCCCTTTACCACCTGTGTTTGCTATGGCAGCGAGATATGCTCTTGTATCTGAAAATCTAATTATGGTTCAAAACGAAACTTACATTTTATATCTCACTTTAAACATTCTGCTGTCCTGTAAAAATAGTAGTTAATCTCTTCATAGAAGCAACAGTTTCCTAAGCGCCTGATCCTACATCATTAAAGCCAATAAAACCACCATTAAAGCCAATAAAAAGTGTGATTATCACTATTCACTGTCTTTTCTGAACTGAAGGCTGAAATCAGCCTGTCTTGATTTCTCACAAAGCAAATTCTGGCCATCTGGCAGTTAAGGGCTTCATAAGAGCTACATAACCAGCCAGAGCAGTTCATATTGCATTACCAATATCCTAGAGATTCAGGCTCAGTAATAAAATAAAGAAACAGGATCTTCCACACCAGAAGCACCAGTACAAACACCTAAGATACTAAAGCAGTGAATAAGATGTGACCTGCTAAAGAGAGATAAAACTACTTGCAACAATGGATGAGTGAATCAAAACCCCTTAAGGAAGATTGATTTTAATTACAAAGATAAAAATGCAGTATTCATGTATAAGCAAAAATACTAGCTGGCTTAATACAACCAAGATACTCCCACAGTGATGTGAAGCACAGGCTATTTTATCCTGCCAGGTACTGAAAAATCCAATTACTTTACATTCATACAGGTAAGACCATTAGTGATTTGTGATATTGTATATTAACTTGCACTTTTATATATGTCTGCCCATCCAACATGTCAGCATTTCAGTAAATAATCCTATTTCAACAAAAATAATCTTCATTTTGTCCTAGCTGGTGAGCATCATATAATTGGCTCTTGCTTATTGCTAAGAGTAAGTCCTTTTAATTAAATAATCTCAGACAAATCTCATAGGGACATTAAAAATGAATTCATCTGGTCTACAGATTGCCTCTAAGGGAAAAAAAAAAAAAGTAGAACACAGCAACTATCATAATTATCAGTTCATCCAGACCACCAGCCTAATTCTAACGGGGAACCATAGCAGATAGGGAAACTATTTTCAAAAAGGTGAGTGCAATGGATATTTGGGGGCCTTCCAGAGTTAGAGATCACATACAAATCATAAAACTTATCAACAACTGTGGAATTCTGCTCCATAAAAGCACTTAGATTATTTTGATGACATTTTTGAATGTCTCGTGGTAAGGAGTTCCTCGATATTTTCATGTGCTGTGTCAGCCATCTCTCTGATAACTTCATGAAATATCTCCTTGTCCTTTTGAAAAGTAGTACATAATTGTTCTCTTTTTGTTCACCTGCTATTATTATTCAGCAGAACCTATGAGGAAAAAGAAGGCTTAGAGAAAGCCTTGTAATTCCCAACTTTTAGCTCCATTACCTATTTAATAATATGCATCATCTGAGAGCCTATGGGCCCAATTAAGTCTGCTTGTGCTAGAACTTAGCTCAGGCGACTGATTTAGATGTCTAATTATGTTTTAAACAATCTAATTCTGGATAATCAGCTTAGAAATTGGTGTTGCTATCCCCAGTTGGGATTCAGTTTGAGGTAAGTAAAATACAGGGCACTTTTGCAAAGTACTGTGGACTTTTCCAGATTTGCCTGATTTCTTTACTTGTACAAGAAAAAAAAGCAAGCAAACATTTGTGTTATATAAAATTTACATGAAATATTTATATGATATCTGAACAGTTAATGCTCAATAAGATATTTTATGCAGTGGTGAACTGAAAAGAACATTTCAGCAAGATCTTTATACCATCTGTTTTCAAAGTCCGTAATTACTTTTCCAGATGTACTTTCTTCTTCATTAACTACACAGGCACATAACTTAGGGTCTTTAATAGGTATTTCAACACATTTGCACACACAACGTTGAAAACAAATGGTTTATGGAATGCTGTTGCTGCTATTAACATCTCATTAATAAACAAACCTTGAATTACGCTACTTTCACATCCTGTTTCTACTTCACACAAAGCAGCATAATGGACAAAGCATAATTTTTGTTTAAACTCCAGTACCTCCATGATTTATTAAATGTCATTCATCTCATTAGAGATGAGCTAGGAGGGTCAGCTTTGTAAGCTGCAGAGGACAGAATTACACTGATACCCCTGGCTGTCAAGGACACAGAGTGTGTCAAGGACACAGAGGATGCAAACAGCTGGTAAGAAAGGAGCTACATAGCTTTGGGGGTTCCAAAGCTGCACAGCTCTCAACCAGTTGATGAAAGAAACATTTTATAAATTCTAGGAAAAGCCTGTATCACATCATAGGTTTCATTTCTGTAACTATTTAAACAACAGAGAAGTACACACTCATTATATTCCTAATCTAAGCAATGCTGTTAAGGGAGTCATTAGAAAAACAACCCTGTCAAAGCCCAATAGCTACTAAAGGACACCGTATACAAAGTGGAAAGAGTATAAAATTTACTTTTATTTCCTCCTCATTTCCTTTAAATTCTATTCCAGCTATCTATGCAAGAGAAACATCCACCTAAATATTTTCCTGTTTCTGTGCCTGGCTATGTCCTAGAACAGTAACAGCAAAGGAAAGACCTTGGCTGCCACACTGCTTCAAGGCACCAAACTTTCTTTGCAAAACCTCTGGCAGACAATTTACAGAGCTAACAAGGTGCAGTCTGTAAGCAGTTAGAAGCCTTACCTTTAGCTCAGGCATGTTTATTATAAGCTGCATAGGTAGTTTAACATCAGGATCCTTTGTGTAGTCCATGGGCACAACGTTTGGTGCCATTTCATGGTACCGGCCATGCAACCTGTAAGCAAGTAGAAAAAACAGCCAACTTAAATAATCAATTCAATTCACATGGTATAGAATCATGGAATCATAGAGTAATGTGAGACGGAAGGGATCCATAAGGATCACCGACTCCTGGCTTCACACAGAACCACCCAAAATCCAACCATCTTTCTGAGAGCATCATCCAAACACTCCTCAAACCCCAGCAGGCTTGGTGCTGCAACTACTTCCCTAAAGAGCATGTTCCAGTGCCCAGCCACTCTCTTCATTAAGAACCATTTCCTAACATTCAGTCTCAGCAATCAGACACAAATCCAGTTAATTGTTATTTTTAAGTGTACAAGGCAAAACCTACCAAATTTCCATCTTTTTGAAAAGCTTTGATGCAGTATCCAGCATAACTCAATGTGGGTAACCGATAGAAAAACAATAGAAGTTCCTCAGCCTCTTTTGGAGTTCTGAGAAAAACATACATCACGTAGTGAAATATAGTGTTAGTCTAGAGCAGTGATACTCTAGCCTTCATGCAATCCATTGGTGATGCTGCTCTCACACTTGGATGGAGCAAATACCATGACCAATATGGGAACCAGCCCCACCAGCCATCTCCCAGGAGCTGCACTGATAGGCACTGTGTGTATTACTGTTCTGACACATCTCTCAGTAACATTAGTTACTAACTGGAAATGGTTTGCCATTAAACCCCCGTGCCAACAGCTCTAATGTTTCTTCTGTTCTTATAGAAGCAGAAAGCACTTCAAATGATGATCTGAATTCATAAGTAGTTGTGACCTAGCTGGGAAAGGCTTTTGCTCTTTCACTCAGCCTGTCCCTGAACAGAAAGCATATCTGATAAAAACAAAGTGGCTTTGGCTCTCTGCCCTAGTCACAGAAACAGTTACGTCTTATCAGAGGAGCAACGTAAGGTTTTGCAGTGCTATTTAAATACATATAGGTTTGGAAAGGCTGCCATTTACCATAAACAGACCGTTATGTATATTCATAGGCCCAGAGTCTGCAACCAGCCTGTGTCTTTGTGATGACTACAAGCTCTGCACTACCTGCTTCTAGGAATTCTTGCGGATGCCTGCATCATTACTTTCCCATTCCTGGATGTGCTCCCTTTGTTGTCAAGACATTGAGGATGCAGAGGAAGAGCTGGTAGCATTTACTAGTGTTTTCCTTCCCACAGATGAGAATAAGAAGAGATGTAGTAACAAATGTTTTAACAGGCAGATGATGCCCTGTTTCTTCAGATATTAGTGTATGTTTAAGCTTAATGTACTAAAGCCTGGAGTTAAAGCCATGATTCCCTAACAAACTGCTAACAAATTAATTCAGCCCAAACCCAAACTACTGATCTGTTCTTGCAGGCACTTCAGGTCTTCCCACTGACCCATCTCCCTAGCATAAGCACTTATGGAACACTTAGGAAACTACTCTAAGCTTCAAGGAATTGATGAAAATAGAGAAGTTTCATAGCTCCTTGAGGAAGCTCACAGAGTTGCAACACTAATGCTGCTTATGCATTTATATTAAATTAATTTGCTACTGAACTTGGAGAGAAAGTCTAATTGTCCCCAGGGTCACCACTGGGTGTGTTAAGGTACAGAGAAGCTACTTGTGTAATGAGAACTCTGTGCTGAAGGAGTGCTGAAAACAAAAGATAAAACCTTGTAATGGCTCACTGCTTAGAAGGAAGTAAGCAGAGGCTTTAAAGTGGCCTTCAGGATCCAATGTGTTTAATGCAACATCTCACCAAATGTAGAGCTGCCTCCACAGTACTGACCACTTGATTTATGTCATGGAGAAGAAAGAATTTTATTCAGGAATGTATCTATCCCTATTTAATGCTAAACAACATGAATGTATTCAATGCACACTCAACTTTAATAATACCACCCAAAAGACTAATTTCTACATTGCTTTTGCGTATTCACAGAAAATAAATAGCAGTGCAGCTTCATTGGCACAATGAAACAGAGCCAAGAGTGCCAGCAGTCTGTCCAAGCAGCTCAGAGGAGTTGTGGGTTGACCTGGCCAGAAATCAACTGTAGAGAATGGAATAAAAAAATTTCCACCAAAATCAAAGCTACTGCCTCTTGTTCAGATAGAAGGGTTACACAGAAGAGTTGTAGAACAGCTCCTGGTAATATGCAGGGAACTCAGTGCTTCAGAGACCAGAGCAGCACTGATGAGCCAGTCCATAGCCCTGGAGACAGGCCTGAGCACTCAGCCCCTCTGGAGACAACAGCAGCTATGAGCAAAAGCAACTGCATTTAAGACAGCATTGCACAGACTGCAGGGAAGAATGCATCATGCTGATGAAAAGACAGAGATGGGAACTTATTTACAATTGATGCCCTGGTGATGCAAATTGTCAGGATGCACGCACTAGCAGGCTGTTGCCTTGAAGCCTATGGACACCACACAGAGCAGATCTCCACAAGCAGCAGTGGATGAGCTCTGAAGGAGAACTCAGACCATGGAGAGCCTCTGCACAGGAGCAGGTCCTGGGTTGGAGCTGCAGTCCATGGAGAGGAGCCCACGTTGGAGCATGAGGTCTGGGGGAGCTGCTGCCTGTGGGAATCCATGCTGGACCATACTGTTCCTGAAGAACGGGATCCTCGGTACAGACCCATGTTAGAGAGCAGGGCATGAAAAGCTGTGGCCTATGGGCCACACAGGATCTTTTGGGGAAGGACAGCATCCCATGGGAAGGACCTAAGGAGCAGGGAAGGAGAATGAGAAGGAAGGAGCAGCAGAGAAGTGTTATAAACTGACTGCTGCCCCTGTTCCCCTTCACTGCTCAGTGGGAGGCAGGGGAGGATGGAAGTGGGTGAAGGTGTTTTCAGTTTGTTTTTATTATCTCTAATGGCCACAGTAGTAGTTGGCAATAAATTACATGAATCTCTGTTACGCTCACTCTGTTTTGCCCATGATGATAACTGGTGAGCCATGTCCCTGTCCTTATCTCAACCCTTGATACCTTTCCCATTGTATTTTCTCCCCTATTCCTTTGAGGAGAGGACATGAGTGAGCCACGTGGCACAGTTCAGCTACCCATCAAGGTGAAATCACACCATCACACATTCACTGGCTGCTTTTGCAATGACAATTACACACTGCATGCAGTAACTAGCACACAAATCTCCATGGTGCAACAATTCCTCAGAAAATCACTGCTTCCAAAGATTGCGAGGGGTTAAAGCACTCTCTTAGAGATAGGGGCTATATATAACTGAAACAAAACAATAGGAAACATGGTGCTGCATCTGAAGGCAGCAGAGAGGAACATCATAAAGGATCACTCAGACCCCAACTCAACAGATGGCCATGTGACAAATGGGTACAAAGAATAGTGAGAGATGTGTAGGAATAGCTGAAAGGGGAAACTGAAATGCTTTCTACCTTCTTCGCTTTCCAGTCAAAGTTATTTTCATTATTTGTATAGAATAAAAAACTGCACACCAAAATCTATAAAAAGGCAGCATAAGAGACAAGTTGGATAGATAAACCTTCTGCCAGCTTTTAGTTAATGTCAAGTGCTCTTTCATCTCTGCAATGCAAAATGAAGCAGTACAAATTCACTCAAGCCAATACTAAATAAATATCCTCCAAAAACACCTGCAGTAAAATAAAAAATTCTGCATGAGAAATGTCTTTGGTGCATAGTTTATACCAACAAATTTATTCTAAAAGATGTAGTCATTAGGAAGACTTTGTCTTTCAATACATGTAAGCATAAAAGCATTCACATAACTCCATAAAGCTCAGTGCTTCTTGTCCTGTCACTGAGCATCACAGGTTCTACTTTCTTTCCATCCTCTCCTCAAGTATTAGTACACATGGACAAGATTCTCCCCAAGCATCCTCTTCGCTAGCTGAAATGATGCTTGCTCTGACTTTCCTCAGAAGAGTGGCTCTCCAGTCCCTCCATCGTGCAGGAGGCACTTTGCCCAGCTGTCCTCAGTTTGTTCCACTCCTCTCCTGTGCTGGAGAGCCCAGAACTGATCACAGTGCTCCAGGCTCCATACAGGTCAGTACTGAATATGAGTTGTTTTCACCTGTGCCTAACAAACCATGTGCAACGTGACTGAAGTATTATAAAAGAAAACTTTATGTAGGTCATAAAGAATGGCCTAGATGTCTTTCATTCAGGGAGCTAAACAAGCTTAACAACAGGAATAGAAACATAATAAGCAAGATCAACAGCAGCTTCAGGATTTATGTTCTTCCTGCATGCAGTTTCTTAGATACAATCAGAAGATTCCCAACGGGGTAAAGCCCCCCCAGACTTCATCCTCTTGGCAAACCCCACTTTCCCCAGAGCTGACAAAAGCACAGTTCACCCTTCTTTATGTAGGGCCCAAACTTCTTGAAAGACAGGATGTGTTAGGAAAGCATAAGCTGTGTTCCAGCCTCTCCCTCCATCTGCACAGCAGCCTGCTCCAAAGGGGAGATGCATCTCAAGCACTTTTTTGTACTTGCTCCCTTATAAGGAAGGCTTTGCAGACACTTGGAGGAAACCTCTGCTTATCTTCCCAACTTAACTGTCAGGCAGGTTTCAGATTTAAAATCCAGCATATCTGGATGGGCCAGACTGGCTCCTCTGAACCTTATCTTTTTCTCTTCAAAGACACGCCAAGGAACAGGCAGACAGAACAATGCAACAGAATCACAGATGTTCTTCTGCAAAACTGGCCAGCTGGTGCCCAAGTTGGTGATTTAGTGCCATATTCCTCCAGCAGCTGTCTAGCTAGGATAAGTCAGTCTCAAATTATAAAACAACTCTAATTGACAGAATTTGTGCTTTTGGGCTGGAACAGACGTCCAAGAAATCAGGGTTTGAATGCCAAATTGTGCTGGTCTAGAGAGAGAAATAGAACCAGATGGGCTGGCTAGCAGGCAAGCATTAATACTGGAGTTAAAGGTTGGCTGCTAGAAAATCTGGTCCACAAAACTGAGGAAGAGAAACTGCCTTGCAGGAGACAACTTAATCACTTGTTCCCATCT